GACACGTACACAAGACATTTGACAAGAACGAATCAATTTTGTTAAGCAAATCTATTGAGACGTTGATTGACAAACTAATGGGACCACACGCAATATATACACCCTCTATTTTCACTCGTCTTGTACGGGCAAATTTGCAATAGCCAACAGTGATAATAATATTGTTCTTGCAGGTATGGCATTACTGCGATCTGAACGGTGGTAAAGCATCGTTCTTATGCCCGAACGGTACGATATTCAGTCAAGTTGCGTTAACGTGCGACTGGTGGTTCAACGTGAAGTGCGAAACAACGACTCAATTATACGTTTTAAACGAGAGGCTCTACAAGTATATTCTGCCGATAATGCCAAAGTTCCCGGAAGACTTCACCGGCCCAGAAGTAGATCGGTATTTAGAGCTCAAGTTTAAAGAGATGGAGGCGAAACTAAAGGAGAAGAAGCTGAAGAAACAGCAGGAGGAAAAGGAGAAAGAGAAAGAGAAGGAAAAGCTCAAGCACAAACAACAAACACAAGAGAAACAAAATGAATAATCGATATGTGTCTAGGCTGTAGTTAAATTATTATGTAATATTTTTAACGTTTAAGAGGGTCAGTTAAAAAGTTTCACTCGCTTGAAATTTCTCGTGTATTAAAGATATCCCGATAAAACTTGGTGGTAATAATGTTTTATTTCTCTGTTCTGGAGTTGTGTTCAATGGCTTTGACGCTCCAATCGTTCTTTACTTTTTATCAATCATAAAACATGGCGTGTCCGTTGAAACTGGCGTCCAAATTGGAAATCTGTGATTCGTTTTTTTTTTATGGGCAAACAAGTTTTCCCGTGGTAAAATTTATCGTCAATTGCGCGACGTTTATGATCATAATAAGATGTCTCGTCAAGCTCTATTGAGAAATGGTGCATTTTATTCAAGAATGACGATCATCAGAAGAGAAGACTATATGACAACAAATGTCAATATTGAACGTGTTAAGCACTTGATTGAGACAAGTAAGAAGATTTGTGTTCGATGGATATCTCAATTGTTGACAAACACAAGAAGCAACGATTTCGAATAACTTTGGTATTTTTGCATTGATATCAATGAAGGGAATGAATTTCTGGAGATGGAATAGCGACTGGAAATGAAAATTAGGTCATCCTGAAACGAAACAAACGTTCGTTTCTTACTTAAGTGGAAACATCCTCCAGCCCCAAAAAGTATTGTACAGTTTCTTTTGCCAGAATGGTGACAGTGTTCTTTGATAATCAAGGCATTATGAATTCACACACCTCAACAGTATTAACACTTTGAGTGCCACTCCCAATTTTATTTACTCAAATAGAAACAATTTTCACACATTTATAGATTTATTGAATTTGAATAATGAAGTCTTAATTTGTAGATAAATAAATACATATGTTTTATATTATATTTACAAACACACACTCAAAGTGTCAATGCAAACACACAGATTCACATATTGTGAAACTTTGACAAAATTAAGAAAATTAAAGAATGATAACATCGTCCATATAGTTCAAAATTTTTACTTTGAGACTTTTATGTTTTTAGACCAATGAAAACAAAGCAGTAATATTATTTAGAGAAAGAATGACTCAGGATTCAGGAATGACTATCTTAAGACAGAATCTTTTTGACAAAGAAATAAAAAGGATAGTGCCACGATACGATAAATGTTTCAATTGATAGAGATTGATATAATAGAAAAATAGCTAATATTTTATAATATGAAAACTATGAGAACTAGCTTTTTGACTGACCCTCATATATATCTTGTTGCCATTGTTTGTTATAAATGTACAATTATAGGTTGTGTCTCACTCTTATCCACATTGTTGGATATAGAGAAATTTTGTAAAACTCAAAAATGTGCAATATTTTTATTATAGGTTTGCGTGTGATTTGTTTCTACGTATTGTGTATTTAATAAGGAAATTTTTGTATACAATCTGTACATTGAAGAAATCAAGTTATTATTGTAAAGCGTTTAAAACAATTGGAAATGCCAGAAACCAACACATATGAAATAATTGATAACGTCAGTAAACAGTTTTTCTCCCTCTAGTCATATTTGTACTGTGTAAAGAATATATTCTTTACTACTTTATAGAAAACTTTTGCATTTATACGTGCATTTTAGAAATTAATAATTATATACACAATAATACACAAGCATGACATTAAATTAATTTAAAAGTTTTTTACTTCAAAAAATAGTTTGCAATTAATTGTATTGCAGCAAATTAGTTCTCCAATTTCATATTTCTATTTAACATTTTGTTGCAAAAATAAAATTAATTATTTATTTATCGTTTAATGTGAATATTTTTTCTCATTATACATGCATTGTGATTCCTTTTCTGTAGAAAAAATAAATAAATCTACTTACCTTTTGCACCTGCTGAACTCTTTTGAGGTTCTCACTCACATGATCAAATGTATTGTAGAATTCCACCAATAATTCACTGTTCTAATAAACACAGAAATAAAAGCATATTATTTCTTTCCAATGTTACATTTGTGAAATTATTTACATTTCTTATAATACAAACCTTTTTGCTTAATGACAAGTAATTATGATTTTTATGAAATTGTATCATACAATGTGAACACCCAGATATTTCACAATTTTCACAGTAGTATCCTATTGGTTCGAAACATTGTTCTGAACAAGTATTTATTATATTGAAAGAATTTTCATTGTTTTCTTCTGTTAGCATAATCTTTGAATGATTTTGTAATGCCTTGCCATGGATCTAACAAAACATAAACACAAAATATCATTAACTATATTTCTACTTTCAGCACATTATAATACACAGTATTATATTATACATATTTTTATTCTACATGTTTATCTTCTTGAAGTATTTATAAAGAACATAATTAACAATGTATTTCCCAAAAGAGCAAACAATAATGTAATAAAAAGCAACGTCATACAATGAGCAATGTACCTTGGAGTAACAAATATGGCAAAAAAGAACATCGCATTGTTGGCACTTTATGGTTGCTCGAATTCCACATTCATAACATAAACCTGAAAATAAAGAATATTTTATTGCAACCTAAAGCATCGTTTAACATATCTAACTGGTCTTCGAAACGATACAGACCTTTAATGCTTTGCTGTTTTGGTTTGGAAGCAGAAGGTTTAGAGAAAGAAATATCTACATCATCTGAATTAATTGATCTATTATGCGACATAACCATTAATCCCAAAGTATATATGTTTAAAGGTAATGAAAATCTCTGATTATCATCGCATTGTGAAACTATGTTGCATACAGGACAAGGTTTATTAGCAAATGATTTAACGCATTCGTCACATATTATATGTCCACAATTTAATAATAAAGGCATTACACCACGTAAAGGAACAAATTCTGAAACAAAATAAATAAATGATTTCTTAGCATCTTTTCCAACTACATTTCCCAAATGAATGTGTGCAAAGAAAATTCAAACAACAATAGGAATGACAATGTACGTACTATCCTAACCTTCATGATATTATCATTCATTTTAGATTTACAAAGATCAGCAACGTGCATACTAACAATGGTTTTTGTACATGTTTTGTACGATTATACGATATCATCGAAAATACATTTTCAAACGTGGATTGAAAAATCTTTTTTTTAAATTATTGAAATTATATTTCGAAAGATTATAAATAAGTATTTCATTTGTCGTCAATACATACATTACATGAATGAATTGAAAGACAATATCGCCAAGCGTATGACTGAAAACGTGAATGATTACCTTGAAAAAAAAATTGATGTTTACACTGTACGCAGAACACATTTCGAAGTTTTGTAGATGGAAAATTGTACTTTTTGTAGTACTTATAATTTCTTCGAGTGCTCATTGTTTTGTTAATTGTGAATCGATATATGAACGATTTCGAACACAAACAATCCGAATCGGCGAATTACTCGAAATTTTACACGACGAGACGACACGCGGAAACTCACAGTATCACATTTGAATTCTAGCCCAGTGCCGATTCAAGACGTTGGGCACCCTTGTCCAAATTCGATTCTCAAGTAAAAGAATGAAATATTTCTTATATTTAATAAATATTTCTATATTTAGTAAAATAATTTCGAATTAATCCCGACAAACGAAATCCGATTGGAAAACACACTTTGATTCAATATTATATCAAATTGTACACTCATAAATTTATATGTTGCGTGCACACTGCCACATATCGGCGCTAGATATAACATTTATAACCGGCTCAATTATTTTCAAAACATTTTTCAATAAATAATAATTTAATTTATATATTACGTCGATTTTCTATTAAAACGAAGACAATTTAGAAATATTTTTATGCAATGCTATTATTTAACAACATTGAACGCAATTAGATAAATTATAACATTTTATTATTAACTATTAACGAACCACGTGTGACAATTTGAAAAAGTGACAACTTCAGTTATGTTTGAATTCATTTCCGTTTACTGTTGCTTTGATTTTTTTTCAAATATTTTATGTTTTTTACTACTTTATATTTTTCACTGTTTTAAAATTTATACATCAATTACAAAATTCCTTACAATGACACACATATATATGCAATAACATATAAATTACTACACGTATGACAACATTACGCACAAATTACTATTTCATTGAAAAAGATATGTCGCTTTCGTTCCAATTTTTATAACTGCAATTGTAAATTTTCACTTCGATAATTTGCAGTTCTCTAAACGAAACGTAAAATACAGAAAAAGACGGGACAAGAAAAAGAAAAAGGATAATTCAAAATTAACGGCGAATTCATCGACATTGTATTTAGAAATGTAATGAAAACTTCGATAGATCATGTGATTGGTAACATTCTAGTATGAACGATGCAATTGCAGTCACGTGATTATGAGTGTTTCACGACTTTCAGGATAGATGCCGCTGTAATCTTGAGAACTGCACAATTTGGCAAAAACATAAAAAGTCAGATGGATAAACAGCGGAGTTATGTTGGACCTATTGGATTCTAGGCGCGGTCGCGACCAATGATCCGTTATGATCTTGCCTAGCACGAACGCTTCAGCGAGGAACAGATCGTAAACCTTGAACATCATACTTTAGCTGTATTATTCTTACAATAATATTGGAAAGTACAAACGTATTTCAAATGCTCCATGATCATTCGACGCGAATCTGCTTTGAAATGTCATCCATGTCGTCGCACATACACACACACATATATATACACATTATAAACGACGTTTTCATCTGCATTTGCAAATAGAATACAACATAGAATGGAAATGCTCGATGTAAGTATGAATATTTCTAGATTTCTAGATATATAAGAAGTACCATTCATTTTATTGCTTTCCAGACGTTGGTTTGGCTATACTTGTGTATTTACAATAAAGGTCAGTTGTGTTCAACGAGTTCGTTATTAGAAGAATATAAATAGAAAGCTAAGCTGCAGTTATGATTTCTCTCGACGTTTACGACGTGGTAAATACGTGATATCCTTCAGAATTTTTGAATTTTCTCCTAGATCTTTTCAGTTTGGTCAACCTAAATTCATTCTTTCAAGTTTTTCGATACACAGGATTGGAAATGAAAGGGGTGACAACATTAATACGCGTCAAGGAGCGTTCACAAATTTCTGACTTGAAAACAGAAAATTCGTAATCTTCAAATTACAAATTGCAGTTTGTAATTACGAGTCTGTAGCCGTGGCAAGATATGACTCCAAGTCTAACTTCCTATATAAACTGCAACGTTGTTGCATTTCAGAGATAATTGTGCCGTCCAGTGCAGCTCTAAGTAAAATTACCCAGAGATCCAGCCAGTGATTATTCGAGTTTCCATCTTTACGTAACCGAGGCAATCGCGCGCGGTCCAAACCCGCCGCAAGCCGTGGGATGGACGAGGTAAGAAGAAAGAGGAAGCGAGATATCGGATTTAGGCCGGCGTTCGAAACAACAGTGTATGCACGTGTATGTGTACGTAGAGACGAAGCGGTCTCTGGACTAGGCAAGCCGAGCGAAAGAGCTGTGGCAAGGTCTAGGCTGGCTGGTATTCAAGGTCGCGTGCACAGCGCAAAAGCCCCCGGATCTATCCCCGCTCCAGATTTCTAACGCCCTTTGCCTCTTGCCTTCTTTGTCACTCTGCTGTATGCATACAAACATTTCACCTTCCTTTCTCTCTTTCTCTCTCCCTCAGTCTTTTTCTCTCTCTTTCGCAGCTTCTCCCTTCTCCCCGGCCTCTCCAATCGTGGCTTCTCTCACTCTCTCACTCTCTCTCTCT